AAAAAAAAAAAACTTTGACGACTATAAGTCAAATACTTATCTCTATAAAAACATTAACTTTTGACTAGCAAATAATACATTACGTCCTCTTCATAAAGTCTCTGATGGCGAATAACGCTGCAAAAACCTGTGGTAATCTTGCAAATTACATAAAGCATTCAGGTACCTGCAAAAAAAATGCAGTCCACACAGGTGACTTGCATAAAACGTCATTGTCCCCTATAATGACGACACCCTCTCTCGCTCTTGAGAGGGCTACCGTTGCTCTGTGAGGATCCAACACAAACTTGACGTTCTTTTTCCTACCGCTGGGTAACACTCTAGTGGTGATTATTATAGAATAATCACACTTTTGTCTTTGGTACTTGTTAATGCTGTACACTTCCACGTCTGGCTCACTTTTTTCTATTGCCTTTACAGTCGCGGAATAGTAGCATGGAATGACAATTCTTGCGTAGGGCTGCCTATCCTTGATGTATCTTTGGAACTCTATCGCGGCGTCGTTCTGTAAACAATTCACCCAACTTTTTTTTCGGTTAATACTTCCTGTCCTTCAACCTTTAAGAATAGGGTAAGGATGTCTCTTTGTCTTGTGGGAAGTCCCAGGCTTTTCCAAAAGAGCCTATCTTTGGGTGGTAAAACCGCACGTAGCTCGTCCCCATAGGATGCTCGCGACAATGCTGCCACCAACTTCGGATGGCTACGAAAGTTTCAATTTAGACGGATGTGTCCTATCGTTGGATTGTTCATCAGTTTATGTATAGTCCCTTCGTGACCCATACATATGATACTTTCAGTGATAGTTCCTGTAAAGGGTGGTAATTGATGCTGATCACCTGTTACCAGCATCTTCTTGAGGTTGGTCATGCCCGATATCAAGTCAAACAAAAACATTTCGGGAAGCAGTCCCCCTTTATCTACCACTAGGTAGCGTAACTGTTCCGCGTCGAAATGTCCCTCCCACATCTGGAAGAATACTCTTACCATTTAAATTGTGCCGGCTACAATTTTTGGTTTATGCAGATGAATGGCCTGCCCCAAGGCTTAACCCTCGTGAAAGGGAGATCCATCATGAGACAAACGCTTCATCACATAGTTTCTTATGAATCTGGTATCTGCGTCCGGTTTCTCATCTTTTAAATGTTTATCGAGTACTTTTGGGACGCGAAATAACTCTCATAATCTTAATCCGGGCGTCTTTTCCACAGTTTCATTTTCAGTCGACTGTAGAAACAGCACGTCGCCATTCTCCAAGAAATTGGTCATTAATGCCCTCTCGATTATCTCCTGTGTAGCTAAATTGGTGGGTGCCGATACCACAATCACTTCTGACA